AGCGAGTGAAGCCACGCTGTTCTATCTATGTGAACTTGCCCCAGCACCCATGGATGCAGACATGCCTTTCTTGGATAACTGACGTAATGGGGACTCTGTACATAGTCATGAAGATGAACTATTTATTTAGAATATTGTTTGGTATATGAGTTTTTTGTAAATCACTGTTTTATGTAACCAGGTAACGTGGAATCTACAACACCTTTCCTATGTTACTTCTTGCAAGCAGTTGTTTTAACTACAGGGTTAGACAAGCTGTCAGACATGGTTGGCAATACCAAGTCAGACTGTTACTGTACTGATGTCAAACACTTGGTATTATGCATATCGCTAAATATCCCAGGTAACCAAACACTTGTTAATAGTAAGCTTTGATTTATGATTTCTTATACTTTTGGTCTTACATATGATGATGTAAACTAGTAGTGTATGGTTAGGGAGCACTGACTTTCTGTATCTTGGGTTTTTTCTATTTTTTACAACATTTTGTTTAACAAACATGAGGCTTTTTTGGGGTGGGGGGGACCAGGACCTGATGTAGGCTTTTTTTTTCCCTGCTTGAACTGGGAACAAAGTGCCTGTACCTTGCTAAATCTGGTTCTGCCTTACTTTCACTTCAGTGGAAGTGCTCACACATAGCACAAACTGGGGAAAAGTTCCTTACAGCCACCAGGCCCCTTGACTGCATGAGTACTTTTAACTTGGACCATCTACGCTGAGAGAATAAATGTTACTTAAGTGTGGTACGTGTTAAGAGTCAGTTCTTATTCCATGGAGGTTTAACAGCCTGTGGCTTTCATGCCTCAGTAGCTGGGCAATGAGGTCTGCTGCTATGTGTGTTCATGGGGAAATGGTTTCATTGTCTCCAAACTTGCAGGTTTACTTACAAGCCTCCAGAGCACGTGGCCAATGCAGCAAACTGTGTTTTGCCCTAGTACTACACAAGGGACTGTTTTCTCCTCTGGCTTTACTGAAAGGTGTGGCAGAGCCCATAGCTTTCCTTCTGCTGGAAGAGCTTTACCCCTGCTCAAAAGGTCTTTCCATTATCACTTTTACCAAGTCCTTGCATGTCTGTTATGTGAACTTGTGGTAGTTGTTACACAGCTGCATGCCAGAGGGGTTGCTACACCACCAGGTGAAGGTGGATTTCACCCACTTGTAACTAGATCATCTCACCCTTTCTGTAGGTAGGGAGGTTTGAGAAGTTCCAGTGTGGAAGATGTTCCAGTGAAGGGAGAAACTGACATGCAACACAAAAAACATCTTCCACAATTCACTAGATCATCCCACCCTTTCTGTAGGTAGGCAGGTTTGAGAAGTTACAGTGTGGAAGATGTTCCAGTGAAGGTAGAAACTGGATTATAGTAATCATCTCATACATGCAACACAAAAAACATCTTCCACAATTCTGGCACTGCATTCAACTTTTTTTTTTTTAAAGGAGTAGTCTAGCTGCTTGTAGATAGAGCTGTCCCTCTTACTAATTCAGTGACTAGTTACTTGTCACAGGACTTGGGAACTGCTCTATTAAAACTGGTGCTGAGGTGTTTTACTCAAACCTAACACACACAGGTGCAATCCAGTGCAGTAGCAGTCGAAGTAGGAATGCAGGTACAAGCATGAGGCATGTTTGTGTTTGCATCCCTCTCTGAAAAAGGCACAGAGAACTGGCAGAAAACTTCACACAGGGACTACGGGTGATTTCCTGGGAGCCAGGAACCAACAGCCTTCCAGGTGTACTTTGTGGCACTGTCACCTGTGTCACATTACTCCTCAGGCAATAAGTGCTATAAAGCTGCTTCTGTTCCATCCTAGGATGAGAAGATACTATCCCCTATGTATGAGACAAAGTAATTGGACATCATCATCCAAATTTATTTATTAATAACATAACAATATATTCCAAATTAGTACAAGCCTTTACTAACCATGCCATTACCATCCCAAGTTTGGCAGAGATGTCAGACTTCTGCCATAACTGTCAGTGTTTAGGTGCAGAATTAAAATAAGAGCTTACAGAATTGGCAACAGGAAGTAGCAGTATAGACACCACAGTACCAGGTCAGCATGACATCTGCTGAGGGCTCTAGGGTCACTCCCAGGCAGGCTGCTCTAGGCTCAAGTTGTAGGAAGTAGCAAGGGGAGAGAAATGCAGCAGCAGCTTACATCAGTTACAAAGCTGCAAGCACAAAAGCAGTGAAGATTTCCTAACTGCACAGGAACTATATGGTACCTCAATCAGAGTAATGTCTTCCCTCATGCCTAGATTTAGACTTCTAGGCTCAAGTCTATCTCTGGCAATGGCCAACAAGCAGTAAATGCCTAATACCTTAAAAGATTTCAAAATTTAGAGCCTCAAATATATTAAGAAACACTTCTGTTGAAACCTCAGTTAATGCAAGTCTCTTTTAGTTACTGTCATTGCAGTGTTCCTTTTCCTCCACTTCTTTTTCTTAACCACAATACTCAAAAAATTCCTCTAAAGGGCTTACACAGTTTTCACCACTCATCTCCTTGCAAACTGTGATTGTAGCTTGGCCAAGTAAGTGGTACACAAAACAGCAATAAATTACAGCACAACTATCCCATTTAAACTACTTTTTAAAAAAATAATACATAAATGCACATTGTAAACAGGTGCTTTAAAAACATGCTTCTGAGCATCTGATACCAGGATGTTTTTCCCCAGGGCCTCCTGTCTGCAAGGGGACACAGTGGGCCCCGCAGCACCAAGGAGGGCACCCATCAGCTCCTCCGCAGCCTCCCCACCCAACATCCGTGCTACAGGTACTGCCACCCTTCGTGCGGGAAGAGGTCAGGCTTTAGTGCCAAAATGCTGCAAGACATCCAGTCATTCCAACACGTGCGGTTTTGAGTCTAACCACGCTTACTCAAGACTTACTTTGGAATCAAGGCAACAGGGATCAAAGGCAGCCAGCCCCTCCTTGCAAAGCCTGATCTAATATTCTCCTTACCCTAATTAATACTTGCACTTTTTTTCCCT